CGACCCCAGTACTTACGAAATGATGACTTTAAACGAGACAGCTGATATTCTTGTTTCACCAACTTGTTTGTCAAGAATTAACCTTGTTTTAGAAATTGTTATTACGTAGAACATGCTCTTGCATATGGAATAAAAACAGTGATATAAATCACGTATGGGGGTGATGAAGGTATATTGCAGCATAAGTAAGGGAAATTGACGATCCTTGGATAAGTTAAAGAGTCCAAATGTACATGTTCTGAAAGTCTTTAGCATTTGACCTATTCAAATATCCTTGTTTCGGTCCTAAAGAAAAAGAGAGAGAAATTCTGCTGCCTTGAACTTTATTCCATACACACTGCATGTAAATAATGTCCATACATTAACCAGTTGATGTGTGAATACTTCTTAAGAACTCAAACCTGAATAATAAAGCAATTGTAGTTTATAGACAAAAAAATCTGTTTTAAGTTTACAATCAGCTTAATCACTGGTTTTAGTCATTAAGTGTTTTGCAATATATGTCCCAGTACTTCAATTAGGTGACAAGACCATATTGTAAAAAGATAATGTCTGCTTTCCGTTCTATTTGAACTCTGCGTAAAGCATATTTTTTATGCGATTAAGAAAATTCTGTAATTCCAAGCAAAACAAATTTTATCCTCGATATAATTCTTCTGGCTATTCATTATTTTTGTATTAGTATCCCTTAAATAGCCTACTATGTTTGCAAAAGATTAAAGATTTGACAAGGGCTTACAAGTGGAGAAACAGTTAAAAAAGTAAACATTTGAGCGTAGTTCACCATTATAAACTTTCGATTCTTTATATAAAAACATAATCGAGATTTTAATGTCTTTGTTTTTGTAAAAGCAATTCTGCAGATCAAAACTTGAGAAAATCAAATCAAAGTCATGTCCTGGAAGTCTCACAGCAGAGGCATGTAATTAACCAATATATTTTGAGAATAAGTAGAAAGTAAAAGGATGTCATTGTTTCCAGTTTTGTCTAGTTGTGATAACATCTGCAAATGCCTCAGTTCCATATTACAGCTTAGATTTAGCTGCTGGTGTAAATAGGTACTGTAGTAAATTAAGTTGAAGTTGATACTGCAAGGTTTTTGACAACTTCAGTTTGGGGTCATCGTTTTTGAACGGTCTGGTGAATTTGTAAGGAAATATAATGGCTAACATTTTCCACACCAATTGAAAGAACTTTTTTCGACAATAAAAGATTCCATCTATCTAATCAATACATAGTCATTCTTTAATGATTTACATAATTTGTTCAACAAATATGTAGATTAGCAAACAGGAAATTGGAGTCAATCTAAAATTGTTTGCAGTCATCAAACCATAGGTATTCCTGCAAATAATTATTTAAATTACAGAAACATAGATTTTGGTATTCAAGACTATTTTATATTTAACAAATATTACATGTATGTTAATGCCCTGTTCACAGTGAGATTTTATTCGAATTAAACGTAAAGTTACCGAATTAGCTTCGTTATCGTTCAAGCAGTTTTTTATTATTAAATTTAACGCATTATATATCGCATTAGCTCCGTGTGAACGCTGATTATTTGTGATTAAATTTTGATTATAGGATTTAATTTTCACAGGACATTTGGTTATTTATAGGTATTTGTGCTATATTTGGTTCAAAAATTGAGGAAAGTATGTTAATCACTAAAATCAATAATTGTAGCCACTACATGATTTATCAAAGGATTCTGCATACAAATATTTACAATTGATCATAATAGCTTGTACATAAAATAAAAATTTTAATTCGCATTAGTTTACCTCGCATTAGCTGTGTGTATATTTAATATCGCATTTCATGTATATTGAACAGAAAATAATGAACACACACATAAACACACAAAATCATTGTTTTTATGAAGGGTTGATAAAAAAAAACCTTTATAAGTACATCCTGGGTGAGTTATAAACCATACCAACCGCATGTATTCTAGTGCTTTCTAGAAGAGCATAGCGGAAGAGAAAAATGTCTCATTTACAGGGCACAGCTATAAACATTAAGTAAATTAAAGATTAATCTAACACTGAATATAATGAGAACAATATTCGTTTACAGTTCGACTCAGAACATTCATTTTTCAAAGTTTGGATGACAGATGGTCTATTATAGAAAACCACAATAACAAAGCATAAAAATCAAAATGGACGAGCTATAACTAAAAAGATAAACAGAAAACATTGAATGACCAAGAACACGATATATATCCAAAATAGAAACCGATTTGTTGCCCAAGATACGTCCTTCCATGTGATATTTTCCTCGTTTTCTAATATTCTGAAATTTTTCTTCCATTGCTTCGCCTTCTTTGACCATGACCTCTCCTTTAAGGGGTCGTATTTTCCCTCGTGCTTTTCTGCACCTTTTTGGACTCACTACACGCGCAAACAGTTGCCAGCTCCATGGTACCGGTTGATTCTGCTGTTGCTTCTCGTACATCCATAGAGTCAGGATGGTCAGCCACACCACACTGCTGCTACTGGTCAGTTGAATCACGACGTTGATGTTGATAAGACTGACCGGAGTAGTGTTTGGTAAACGGTCAGCAATCATATTCAGATACAAAATTAAAGCCAGAAGCATGGTGACTGCGTAGGAGATCCGCTCTCCGGAAGATTCCGGAAGAAGAAAGACAAAGAAATTCAAAAAGCACAGATATGCAAGTGGGACAACAAAGTTCATGAAGAGATACGTTGGGTGTCTGGACATGGTAAAAGAGAGAACCATTCTTGAAATGCCGTAGAGGATGTCTGTATCATACTTCACGTCCGTAATGTCCCATTCTTCGTTTTTTATTAAAAGTTGTGGGACAATTGACACAAGGTTTTTCTCTAAATCTGGCCTCAATACTACATTTTCAATGGGTTCAACACTTATAAAATGTATTTCGCACCTTTGCACATCCATTGGATAATACAGAATATTCGCATCGCACTTTGTTTCAGATAAACCTACAGTGTATATATAGATTGTGCCGTTAGGAGACAAAAATGTCGTCTGGTATTTGTCTTCACTGGTCTTTAAGACAGTTTCTTCCGTTGCTGAATTGTAAATTGAAATTTGTGGACTCCAGATCAATGAAACAGGGACGGGAATATCATAGGTTACCTCTCTGGAAAAATTGGCCATTAACAATTCATCCGTCCATTTCATGCTGAAGATAATTATGCATGAAACTTTTCCAGATCTGTCGTCATACGCCACGACTGAATGAAGTCGAAGATCAATGAATATGGTGATGGGGTGGCTTTGGTTCTTTACGGGTCGAATATAACTCACGTGGTCTTCCTTCAAAAATTTGTAAAACTCCCTCAGCTTATCAATATCTGATGAAATTGAAGCAGGTACGTGGAGAAGCAATATGGAACACAATAAGACAGGCGTAAAAACACTCTCCGACCTGCTCATTATTTTTTTTATGTTTGTTGGAGTTCGTCAGATGCACGGGTTAAAAAAATTAGTTCATATGTTTGAAATGAATCCTTCAAACGTGGCCCGTCGAGTTGGTATTTTTCGGATCAAAAGAGAATTTTAAACAGAAAAGGAAATCAATGTGTAGTGTAAAATGATGAGAGTGGGAGACTTTGTCCATCTCTGAGAAGGACGGAAATACATTTGAAAAGCAAACATAGAAGGGGATTTCGTTTAGAACAAAATATCGACCATCTTGTTTTGATCACCTTTAATAATAACGACGTCGACATTAGACTAAATAAGCTTAATACTTAAAACGTTGGGTACAGAAAAGCGAAACAGAAGGCAGGCGATGGCTGAATTATTAGGAAAACTTTGTCGTCATACGTTATGTTCTACCAAGTTAAATTTGAAGAGATGTATTCAGTTAATATTTCGCGTCAAACTTCAGATTTATGAAACTTTATAATTCACAATAAGGTTTCTATTTTAAATATACTATAAAATTGTATTCATGATATTATTCAATACAGACAACAAATGTGGTTTAATTTAGTTTGATAACTGATTTTAGTATGGAAGTCTTCAATGCCATTTAAAATATCAATATGAATATTTTGTTTCATGTGTAAAGATTTTAATACTATTTTAATTTGGGTCAATGGAGATTTTTAACGCTTATTTATGTTTTACTTAACTACGATGTCTTTCAATGAAGAGATCAATTTATAATTTGATATTATCATATAAATACTCATGTAAGATGACTGATTCTTAAGTTTTGATGGTTTTCAAAATATTTACTGTTTCAAATATGCATTGCACTATACTTATAGACACTCTCTTTTTTAGAAACTTAATCTGTAGTTTGTATGCAATCCAATCAATGTGTAATGCCATTTTTTTTCTCTCGAGTAAGTAATTGCAAGCTCTTTAGAGATGGTTTTATTTGTAGAATGAGAAAATATTAGTTTCAAACTCTGGCATACAATACACACAGACATCCATTTCCAATGCTCTCTGAAGAACAAGTAGGAAACATTCAAAGTTCCCAATGCATACACAGAGAAAACATTTTCATGTATTTTTCTCTTTCAAATTTAAGTATGTTTGGTCGTAAACTAGATTTTCTTGTTACCAAATATTTATACTTATTGTTCCAACATTTTTATATTACACATTTTTTGGTCAAAAAAGCTTTACTCTTTTATTTCTAGCTACTCATCCTCTACGAAGTACAAAAAGAAAAATCGAATATCGAAAAATTTTATCTCATAATTATCTCCTTTGTTTATCTTATAAATGCAGTTCTGTTTAACAAGTAAATGAAGAGTATGATTTTTAGATCACTTCAAACAAGACTGACAAATAATTCCTTTAAATAAAAAAAAAATTTGAACGCATTTTTCAACGTATGAGTACACGACCACAGAATTTGTTCAAAGTCAAAAACAAAATCCTCATCACGTTTTAGAGATCAATATATACTTATGATGTACAGGTTTCTCGAGTTTAAAGTTACCTCATCTCTAGATCTATCCAAGTACATTACTATTTAAAAGATGTCGACCAAAACTCCTTGCAGGTATGTCCTCTCTTTAATAACACTCCTTTTGTGTGAGTCGTTTTCAATTTCATCAGATATTGACACTCTAATGGAGTTTTACAACACCTTGAAAGAACTTCCCTTGTCAAATATTCGTCCAGTTCGAAACCAGAGTCACGTCGTCACAGTTTACATAGACCTGATCCTTCATTCAGTTGTATCGTACGACGAAAAGACTGGAACGCTCTCTTCCGTAATTGTTGTGAATATGACATGGACTGATGAATTGGTGCGGGATTATTTTTCTAAAGAATTTGAGGATGAAGTTCCTATTCCCGTGTCTTTGATCTGGAGTCCAGGTTTTTCCATTTACAATACAGTAACAGAGGACATATCACTGAAAATTAGTGAAATCCAGTTGCATAAGAACGCCTTTTTATCTCCTGATGGTAGAATGCGAAATCTGATCGTGGGTTTATCTACTACGAAATGTGACGCAAATATGTTCTATTATCCTATGGATGAGCAAAGATGCGAAATACATTTTGTGAGTGAAGAACCATTCAACAAAGTGGTAATTAGGCCAACACGAGGCATGTATCTCGGAGGATCAACTGCTCTACAAAAGAACGAAGAATGGGAAATAGCGGATGTGACGTGTAAAACAGACATGATTTCTAACTATTCGAAAATAATAATTTCTTTCAAAATGACCAGAAAGTCGATGCATCTTTTCATGAACTTTGTGGTCCCACTCATGTACCTCTGTTTACTGAATCTGTTCGTATTCCTTCTTCCAGAGTCCTCCGGGGAGAGGGTGTCGTACGCAGTGACATTGCTTCTGGCTCTTATTTTGTATCTGAACATGATAGCTGACCGCCTACCAAACACTGCACCTGTTAGTCTTATCAACATCAACATTGTCATCCAATTAAATACAAGTTGCTTTGTTGTGCTGATGACAATCTTAACTCTCAGGATGTATGAAAAGTCGCAAACTGACCAACCAGTTCCATGGTTTTGGAAAGTGTTTGTGTCAGTGACATCAGCTAAGTGTCTTCGAAAACCACAACGTAAGATACATGTCATAAACGTGAAGGAGGCAGAAGTAAAAGACGAAAAGGAGGACGAAAATGACGATGAAGAAGTGCAAAAATCATTTGATAACAAGACAGGAGTCACGTGGGTTGACGTATCCCGTGCAGCAAATCAGTTTCTTTTCTGGATGTTTTTTGTTTTGTTAGTTATTCAGTCTGTTGTGTTTTTCGTTTTGTTAATGTGTCGTCCTGTGCCATTGTAATTGTAAATCACGCCTTTCATCATGAAGTAGAATAATTAGATGTTTTCTTTGGATGTTTTCTTGATGCTTATAAATCCCTCCTGTTAAAAGCCAGTCTATCGCAGTGCAAGTTCAAAGTGATATTCATTGGTAATTACATTCTCCTGAATGTGGAAGGTGGATGATAAGGAACAATGATGAATACAAGAAAAAAATACTGTAGTCAAAGCGAATCATGAACAGGAAAAAAACATGCACCCCATACTAAAGATATGAGCCCAGGAACAAAGGGTTAAATTAAATACTTTCCTAACATTAGTTCATTGATTGTATCTATCACAGACATAGAAATGAGGCAATCTTTTCCTTACATATATAAATCTTTCCTGCTAACAGTCGAATCTATCAAGGTGCAATATGAAAGGTCAAAGTGATCTTCCTTGGTAATTAAATTCTCCTAAATGTGACAGGTGATGGTAATAAACAGTGAAGAATACAAATAAAAACATACAGTAATCAGAACGAAAGATGAACAGGACAAAAATACGGAACTCAGAAGTGGGATCAGGTGCCAAAGGAGGAGTAACCATCTCGTGCCGAATGGTGGTACTGTGTAGTCAAATTTATTGAAAATAAATGACCTTACAAATGGTATAAAACATGTCAAACATATAATAGGGACCCATCGATAGGCTTTACTACCGTTAATTTACAAAAGCTGACTTTAAATAGGGTGGGGTGGGGGTTGAATCCATGTAAAATCAACTTATTTGTTTGAAGCCTAAGTTTAAAAATTGGTCTGCATAAATATGAGAAGTTGACAATGAAAAACTTAGCAACAGATTCATTTAAATTACTTTGTCAAGCAGGTTAGTTAGTTGTAGGCCATTTTCGTCTCATGGCATGCAGTTAAATATCTTTAGACCTGGCAGAACTGTAGTTTCTTCTGTTTTGAGTGTATTGGGATATATGAATTCGATATAGGAAGGATGTACACATAACTATTGTTAACTGATAAATCTTAAATATATATATTAATGAGTTGAAGACAACAGCGAGAGTTTTTACTTGTTGCCCAGAAGTTTTTGAAAAAATCTACTTCATAGAAATAAAAAAAATTAAGAAGCATAATAAAGGAGCACAGTTAGTGACTATAGGATTTCCAAAAGATTATTGGAAGTCCTGATTTTCAAAAGCTACATGTACATGTAGTTATGATCAATAAAGAACTCCAGCATCATTTTAAATATCAACAGATTAATTTTCATTCATACATGTATAACAAAAGGCAGCTGGCTCAAGGGCCTTATAGGTCACCTGAGCATCACGTAGCAACTCTCCAACACTTGAATTTGGTTTGTGTTTTAAACCAGAGGCCATGACATTCACAATATTGAAAGAGCACCATTGTTTATCATAGTTCTATATACTAGCATGCTTAATTTGGTTATTTAATACTCATAGGCAGAGTAGAAGAGCAAAAATATGCATTTCAACTAATCTGTAATAATCAGCAATAATCAGTACTGCCCCCAACCCAACCAAAGGAACTCCAACCTTAGCTGGGGCCATGCATTCTACAATTTGAGAAAAGGCACTCTTGCTTATCATAAATATTTAATTAATATCAAGGAGCAGATTTCAAAGCATTTATTCATTTTCAGTATATAATCATTAGAACCCCCTTTATGATACCCCAACCCAGGGGCCTTGAACTTCACAATTCTGGAAGAAGGAATCATAAATTTCACAACTTCTGTTTCCCATCACTTATAGATGCTAATTACCAAAATTGGTTCAGTGATTTCAGAGAAGAAGCTGAAAATAATCAAATGTTAACGATGGATGAAAACAGATAGCAATTGGTCATTCAGGTGACCAAAAAAGTAACAATCAAACTAATGAATTTAATAAAGAGTATGAATTGTAAACAGGGAAAAAAATCTAGACCACTGAAAGCACCTCAGAGGTGGGATCAGGTGCCACTGAGAAGTAAATATATCTGTCAAATGCTTATGTCATCATGAACTCTTTGGCTTGATCAATCCATATAAATTATTTACAACTTCACACATATACCCGTATGCATATTCTAAGTTAAAGATGATAAAGATCATAAAGTAAAATAAGAAATTTAACGCTTTATTTGCTATTATGCATTGATCATTTATATTGCAGAATTAAATCAATTTTTCATAGGAATAAATTACTAAACTTTCTCAGTTTCATGAACATACTGGCTTTTACTTCATATATAATTACTTGTAAAATCACTCTACTAAATTTTCATTATAGAGAGAGAAAGAAAGAGAGACAGATAAATAGCATCTATTATAAGGAAAATTACTAAAAGCGCTTATCATAATTTTAAACATGACAATTGCTTCATATTTTTTGAACTTGTAAGAGCTTAATAAGTAAAAGATAAATCGATCTATAAATAAAACATAAAAAAAATAACAATTAACAAAACTATAAGTTAATAAGCACTTTTTATGAACATCTAGTACAATCAAAAATCTCAAAGATAATTTCAGTTTTTGGCACCAAATTGTAAATATGGTAATTATTGGATATCTATAGCAATGTACACTTTGTAAATTACGCTACAATTTATATAAGATGTTTAAAAACATCTGAACAAGTCAGTGCAATAAAGGATGGGGATTTAAGCTGGAAGCAATCAAATTTTCTAGCTAGCACAAAGTTTTCTTCAAAAATAAAATCTAGAATTAAATAAAACAAACTTAAGCTAATATCCCCCAAAAAATTTAAGTAAGCTGTCCTTGGCAATTTAGGCAAAAGAACACCAGTTCTTAATTAAAATTTATAATCATGTAAGCAGATTTTGTCATGACCTAACTTTTCCTCATTATTTCAGTCATACCTTTTTGCTCCTCATGCAAAGTATTCAAAGTAATGCCCAAGCATTTAGACATTCATTCATACTAAATCTTATTAGCTTTGAAAAAAATAAATAAACACACTAAAAAGATTTTAAAGTCAAACAACCATTTTCAATAATTGACTAAATAACATAGTACATACTATGTTGACAACCTTTAATAAGGTCTTTTTTAAGATCAAGGCACAGACAAACACACTGATTTAGAGTCACAGATTGACTGCTGATGCATCTACATACATTATACATGTATACATTACTTCAATCTTATAAGTGCATTATTTCTGTGATTTAAACTCAACATGACTTATTGGGATATTCTAAATACACACTGCTAATACGAAGCATTAATGAAAAAAATATTTCCTGATCATTTCATTCAATACAGATATATAACTCCTTTACATACAATAATTACTATGACATATATACAATAAGTAATATTTGTAATTAAAAATAAAGATCTTTATATCTAACTTTGCACTCTATAAAAGACTTCATACTAATAGCTGGCTTAACGATAGTCCATAGACAAGTCATTGACCATCACAGAAGATGAAAATCAACGAACAACTTCATAACAGGAAAACTATAGAAAATTCTTATATCTTGTTCAGGTTAACAATCAGAAATTAGTTCTCCTCAGTAGACTTTAGACTGCATTGTCATCATCTGCAGTTGAACTGACAAGGTTTCCATTTGGTCCTGCTATATTGCTACAAACACCTGATATGCTCACCGAATCAGACATTTGTAATGTTCCCGAAATATTAATTTGTGTGTCACCGGGTGTGCTTTGGTCTTGAGTCTGATTTGGAGATGTTTCTTCAGTGTCGTAATGAATTCGATTAATTAAGGAGTTCACACTTTGTCCGTTACCTCCATCAAGGTCGTGATCGGGCATACTGTTTTGAATGTCTCTATAACTCTGTGTACTAGGCTGATTTGCGATATCATGCCGTAACTCTCTGGCATCCATCTCCATGTTCTTTGCTCCTGATTGGTCAGTGGCTGGGACAGGAACTGTAGTGGGATGACCTCCTGTCTGACCCTCTCCTTGATCTCCTGACCCGGATTCTACAGGACCTGATTGGAACAGGTCAGACCCGCAGCTGACCGTCGAGTCCGGGGCTGCTATGGGGTTCCCCTCCTCAGTGGATCCATCTGTCTGCACTGGGATATTTATAGAATTTCCTGGAGGTCTTAAATCTGATATTCCTCTAGGACTTACTTCTTCTAGTGTCTCCCTTAGCTCCTTCAAATCTTTGTTTGACCCTTCCTGACATGAATCACATTGAGCTATGGGTCCACTTGACGGGACTGGAATGTTCATGGAATTCCCTTGAGGTCTTTGTGTATCTGATGTGTTTTCATGGGTTTCACTTTCTAACACTTTTCTTAAATCTTTCACTGCTTTTGTAAGACTTGACCCTCCCTCATTGGAATCAGACTGTTCATCATGAACAATGGGTCCCCTATTCTGAACATTGCTAGACTGAGAATTACCTGCTATGTTTGTCTGTCTTGAACTTTCTTCTGATCTTGATAGTATAGACTCAGCATTAATATTTGGAACTCCAGCATCTAAACCATGCGTAGTTTCCATCTTTGAACTTTGCCCCATAACATCCTTTGTACTCACAGACTGATTCTTTTTATATAAATCCTCTGGGTCATTTAAATTATCATCTAGAAAACTAGACTTTGGTGAAGTTTGATGGAAGGCCTCAATTTCTCGACTAGTGGGCCCTGTACTCCCAGCTGATGTTCCTTTACTTTCATCTTTTCTATTCTCTATCAGCCTTCCTTTACTTTCATTTTCTCTTTCAATTTCTTTCTGAGTTCTCCTAATTATAGAACTGACTTCACTACTCTCTGACTGCACTGATATTGTAACAGAGGGCGGTAGTTGATTGTCTTTCTGACCAGATATTTCTTGGTTATAAGATGTGTATTGGCCCGTTAAAGTAATTCCCTCTGTATTTGACTTCAGAGATTTTTCTGGTATATTTTTATCAGAAAATTTGACAGATTTGGATGAAGAGGCCATTTTGGATGGACTAGCAGATGTTTGGGGAGAGCTATAGTTCTCTGATCATGATAATTATGTTAAAATGACAAATGTGAAATAGAGAGAGACTTAAAATGTTCTCTTTTTTATATATTGGTCTGTAAGCTGCTTGTAGAATTATTTCTTGGTGGTTCCATATTGTAAATATAATTTTAACAAAAAATAAAACAGAAACAAAATTCAGTAGGTGATTTGTTCAGTGAATAATCGAATGACTAAGAAAATCAGAAGTGTAATGCATAACATTACTGTAACAGTAGCAGAGTCATCTCACAAAGTTCTTAATATCAATTCTCTGTAATTATCAAAATTGGTTGGCCACGCATGGAAAAACATTTTGATTTTTTAATGAAAATTTTAAACAACTATGGCATTGATTGTAAAATCTAAAGTGGGTTTATGAAATAGACCCTTGGTTGCCATAGAAACGGGGTGCAAAAATCCTCAATTTCGTTAATTTTGAAAAACGTGTACTTATCAGGAAAAACTGTGTCCAGAAATGAAAAGAGATAACTTAATATGTTTTCATTATTTAAATTTAATACTACAGATTAAAGAAATTATATCTGTAGTTTTGATTTAATCTCTCAATAGTAAATGGCCATTTTACACATTATAACATATCAGATATGTGATTGGTTTAGTGTAGTTTTTGGAGGCTAAAAACAAAAAAGGCACACTGATTACAAATTTAGTAATAATTACTTATGAAAGGCTGATATTTGATTATTTCAAAATATGTAAAATATTGGTGGGACATTCAAAGATATAAAAGAAATTCAAAGGTAAAGATTACTTTTTTTCTACATTTTGAAGCATTTTTTGCTTCCTAATTACTTCCCTTGAACTACTCTCTAACGTTTGGAGGTACAATGTGTATTTAGTAAACATTCATCTCATCAAAGTTTTACAGTCTGGAAGAAGAAAAGAAGGCTAGACATCTTAAACAATGAAGACAGAAGGTAAATTTATGTATATACTGAGCATTACAAAAATATCAAGATTACCCAATGCATATTTTCTTAGTTTTATTTGTCTTACAATACACAGATGCTTTACCGGTAGTGGTCAGTGGTCCTTTTCAAATCAAGCGAACTATACCTTTTGACAGTTTGACTTTCTGACCAATGAATTAATTATTTTTAATAATAAAAATGAATTTGAAGCATATAAACATTACTTGCTGATAGAGCTGAACCTCCCCCCCCCCCCCCCCCCCCGAAATATAAATGAGATTGTATAAAATCTGTGCCATTCAGTAGGTTTACTTTCTATGATTTGCTGAGACTCAGAGAGACTTTTAAGTGAACATTATTTATCTTTATGATATATTATAATTTCCACTTCTGTCAGTTTTCATTCATTGTTTATCCTATTATTTCAATTCTTTATTGTTGGCATTAGGCACATATTTTACAGAATTGTGTTGTTAAAATATTAAACTAGAGCAAGTTTGTTTCTATAAAAAAAAAGTGCATCAAAGTTTATCATGTGTGAGCACAAGCATAAAGTAGCTAAGTTTTTTTAAATACCGTAAATCTTTGCTGTAGATAAATTTTTAGCAAATTTGCGAGTTCTTTGTATTCGTAAAAATATTTTTCTTAAAAATAAAATACCAATAAGAAAATGTAAACAAAGTAGTGGTAATTCGCAAAATTTTGAAACATAAAAATTAATCAATACCATTTTGACCTGACTTCGCAAAATAAAATCGACGTAAAAATTTCCAGATTTACAGTGGTATTCTATATACTAGTATCAGCAAAATATGGTCATGTGATGTTCATAAGCAGAAAATAATAAAACAGCATGTTTGTTTTGATGTCATTGTTTTATTTAATAGCTTCTATCATTTAAACTTTAAATTTATCATATATATCCAAAACTGTACTAATAGTATTGACAAAATAAATCTAGGTTAAGAATGCCCTGGAAATATTCATTGAGTTATTTTTGTTTATATAGACTCTTTTATTCGTCTGTGAAGTACCGGTACTGTATAATCTATATTTCAATTTTGTGCGAATAATATTAATCTTTTCAAATAGCAAACAGTAAAATATATATATGTACACTTGTACATATGTATTAGTGTTAAAACAAAATTTAACTGGAGGTACTGTGAGCAATGAGCTCACTAAATGATACCCCCTGCCTCCCATATGGTTATAACTGATGATAAAGTCCATGTTTTACTGTGGCCGGGAAACCCAAAATATGTGTCGGATCAAAAAGTGAAATAGGAGGTGCACAATGGCAATATGTAATAAAGATTCTGTGAAAGGTTCATTAAATTTCACTCAGTGGTATAAGAGGAGTTGCGGATAATAAGAGATGGGTACCCTAAAGCGTAACAGACGAACGGACGTACAGACAGATGGACGTACAGCCAGACGGACATACCGATTACAGTATACCCTCCCTCTTTTCGAAGGTATAATAAAACTATATACATGTACATGTAAAATATTCACCTCTGATTTATAATGATATTTGTTTTATACACACTGACCATGTTTTATAGTATTCTAAGCGAATTATTTGATACTCAGGCAAATATTCACTACTGGTAAGATGACCACATATATGAACATGTCTGTGTATGAATGAAATGAATTTTCATTTTGATCATGGTCCTAGGAAAATAATTATTTTCATAATTTTTTCATCAAAGGATTTACCATATGAGATGAACAAAGAAAAAGTAAGACCAGTAAACCAAAACGGGACCAAATAGGCCATGACTGAAGTTCAAGTGCATTCTGCAAGAAAGTGGACAGCCTAGATTTTGTTCTTTTCAAGGTAACCATTCTTAAAATATGAAAGTAAATTAAGGACAGATGATACAAACAAAAAATGGATGCCTGGATTCGTATATATTTTTTGGCATAATTTAATTGCAAATGATGCTATTATTAATAATAATAATATTTTACTGATTTAAACATGACCCAAGTTGTTATTTTCAAATTCTTTGACAAAAATTTGTTTGTATCATCTGTCATTTCAGTTTATCTAAATTTAAACCTTGCTTATTTCTTTTTATAAACAAAATTTAATACCTGTCCAGTAACAGAACAATTCTTATACTAGAATAAAGAAAACAACTTTCTAAAGGATTACATACACATTTAATTAGCTTGAAATCGGTGTATATTGGAAAGTGCAAGAATTATTTACCATTGCAGGTTGAGAAGGGATGCCATATTTTAGGTTTGAAACCAGACAAGTGAAAGCTGAATTCCAACCTACTTCAACATACTTGTACCCACTGTCTTCAAGATATCAGTGTTTGAGATGTCAAAGTTCAAATATAATAGGAACATGTTATCTTTGTGATGGCATCCTCAAATCTTATGCCGTATAACAAAATGTTTTAGAACTTATCAAGCTTTATCCTGTACCTTGCCAAAAAAACTCAACTCAGCATAATTCTCATTAACTAATTATCAGTGTTACGAGGGTTGATCCAAAGTAATGTCACAGTGTCCATATCTTTAATATTTGGCGTCATATTATCAAATTTGATATACCACAAGATGCACAAATATAAATCTAATTAAACTTGAATTTTTCATTCAATAATGTTCAACTGAATTTATTTTATAGATCTTTAAATCATAGAACATAAGGGGTGTCGCCGCGTCACAACCGAACGTCACAAAATAAAGTGTAATTTTTTAGAATAAAAAGGACAAACCCAATGAAAAGCAATTTTTAAAAAGCGCCTAATCGCAAACTATTTTAAAAAGACAAAAATTTGCATCATTTTTTTGTCTAAATTTGGAAATTATTTGACATCATTGCTATTTTTGGTTAATAACATCGTTGTTTTACTCCGGTGCATTGAAAAAAGGAAATGTCGAAATGGACAAAAAAGCCAAACAAACTGTAATGCATTTTTGCTTCGAATTGGAGAAATCGCCAGTAGAGATAGTTACATTGATTCACCAAACTCACAGAGAAAGAACTGTAAATAAGAGACCTGTTTAGATGGTTTTAGCGATTTTTGGTGGGTGATGGGTCAATGAATGCGCAGTAGATGATAAGAAGACAGAAAGAAGGGGGGGGGGGAACGAATCGTTCAATGGTGTGTGACGTTGTCAAAAAAGACAGACAATTGGAGCGATATGTTTAATTTTAAGTTGGTCTCATACTACTGTCCAAAGAATTTTGACAGAAGAATTAATTATGAAAAGGGTAAGTGTACGATGAGTACAAAGTTTTCTTTATGAAAGTGAATTTTGTGAACGCGTTTGTGGATCTCAAGTATTTTTAATGAAACGACGGGAAGCGTTTAAATGTATGACGGCGCGTATCCATCAGATGACGTTATTTAAGTGCGGCGACTACCATAATTGCATGATGTATATAATCCGATTTTCTGAAAAGTATAAATCATGTTGAATTGAAATTTTCAGGTCTGATTTGAAATAAATGTAGTTTTCATCATTAATAATTTTGTTGTCTTACGTCGACGGGTAGCGATTTTATCGAAGTTGTGACATTACTTTTGGATCAACCCTCGTACTTGCATATGTCAATGTAGGTCATTACTGGTACATGCCTGACCAACAAAAACTCTAAAATTGAAAAATCAGAGACAAGATTTTCAGAGCAGCAGAAACAGTAAAATTTGTCACGTAAATCTAATGATATGTACCGTAGTTGAGAATACATGTACTCTTAATGTTGCATATTTATATAAAAAATAAAAAAAGCGAAAAGTTCTCGTTTTCAGAATTTATATTTACAAGTGAAAAAAAAAGAAAAGGAGATTGATATAGTTGGTGTGATGAGATGTTGGCAGGAACCTAGTAAAATGAAAGGAAGAACTTAGATAAAATGATACTTGTGGGGGACAGTGTCTCATGGGGGGGGGGGGGGGGGGGGGCATTGTTTCAACTGACTTTACAGAATACAAAAGATCCATTGCAAACCTAATTATTAATTATATGCCAAACACTATGTTTACAGTTTTCCATTGTTGGATATTTATGTCTAAATCCACGATAACTTTCCCAAAAGGATGTGATTTTTTTTTAAAACCAATGTAATTTTTCTCAAGTTTAAAGCCGTGTTTCATAAGTTTTAAAAGAAAAAAATCAGAAGGGTGGGGGGATGAATTTTTGACTTCATTCAAAGTATCTGTGGTTTGCAGTTGCCCATGAATTTAATAAATAAGTATACAAAGTAACAAGTTGAAATGAGTAAAATGTTAGGAATGTCCTGCTTGTTTTAGTTTCATCTCAGAATTTTTCAAACCTTGAAAAAGGAAAAGCCACAAGGCTTTGCAATTATTTGACATAGCATTACAAAATGCATTATATTTTTGCAACATCATAAAGATGCAAATTTAAAATGCCAAAAAAATTTAATTCAGATTCACATTTAATTCATTACACAGGTTTTATAAAAGAGTAAATAAGTGTAGTTTTAGGAATATTGTTAAACGCAGCCATTTTGGTTAAAAATCTGGTATTCCTGTCTCCATGGTAACAAATCTTGCATTCCTGTTTCCATAGTAACAGAGAATGGATAGGGAAAATTTTATTTCATATTAGTTTCAATCTAAGGGGATAGTTTCAGGAAACTTGAAACATGCCCTGGTTAGTCTACATGTACTTCAAAATTGTCAATTTTACGGAAGGGGGGGGCATTTTGTGCAAGTTCTATCTAAGAACATACATGTATAAATGCTCTTGGAAATGGGATGTGAGTATTTTTACATGACACTTCTCCTAGATTGGACTAATTTTACTGTAAATGACATCAAAACAGGTAGAAAGGAACACTTCTTTTCTATGTGAACTTAATGAAATGTGCATATGTTCCTTGAAATACGGAAATTTTGCAGATTTTGGGTAATTTTTCATCAGCTTTTAAAAAAAAAATATTTAAGTGTCCCATAAATATTTTAATGTGTTTAAACTAACTTATGTACCCTTTATACAATGTACTGTTTCATGAATTTCAAATCAGTGTGCAAAGTATTAAAAAATCGCTTTGAAAAAGGGTCTAAAATGGTAATTTTCTCAATTTGGCAAAATGCCAAAATCCCCAAAGATAAGCGTTGTTAAGCCATTATGTAGAATTACAGTTTTTAAAAAATTATGTTGTAATACTAAAGAGGAATAATGGTAGTTTTGAAACAAAAGTAGATTTTCCCATTCTCTTGTTTCTTTTAAGCTCATTTTTATTCAGTAAAACCTACAAAATCACGTGTTTTGGTCAAATTTTAGGACGAATTTACAGGGGAAACAATAGGTGCCGTTACCATGGCAACGAGGCATTTTTTGAAATAAGAAAATATAAAACCATTAATGATGTGACAATGTGAGTACACACAAAAAGTTTCATTAAAATTGAAAATGTAGTGTGGCCAAGCATTATTGATATTGTTTGATAATTACAGAGAATTGATATTAATTATCATGATTATAATTTGTGCACAACTTTTTCATGACATTATCCACTAGGGGCTACCTAAAACTTAAAAGAGAGGTACATATTTCCTAGGGGATCCAAGTAAAGTCTTATTTTTCCACTGATTTTGCATAAAAACTCAATAACACTGAAAATTTCCAAGTGTGGAAGTGAGCCCCTCACCAATGACTCCTCTAGATTCCTCTTGTATCAAAATTTTATTTTTAATTTGACTTACGTAGCTCTTTAGTTTTTTGTCGGGTAAGACCAAATTTTTGACCCAGTATCCTCCAGAGTGGAACTTTATCATGTTCTTCATTGAGTTCAGAAGCCCAACGAGCATAAATGGAATCTTGCAAATGCACCAGCTCTGTCTCTGAAAACAACTATGAGGATCATAAAAAAATTCAAAAAAATATATTCTAGCTAAAAGAACGTCTATAGACATACCCATTCATAGTGATAATCAAAATGCTTAAAGGAGAATTGAAAGTGTATTGCCTAATTGGATAGCTGCAGAACTGTTATTAATAATTAAGCTCTCTGCTTGAGAAAATTCTAACAGAGAAAGCACTACTCAAGAACTACAGATCCATGCTTTGTAAAAATCTTTGCCTTTTTGACACTTGATTCAGGTATTATTATTAATTATATTTTATGTTTTCCCCAGCTTCATAAATGATATCTGATAATTATTCATGCATGTAATTCCTATTCCTTAATGTTTATTTACCTTCCGATGGTTCAAGTTTGTGAATGTGGACGTAAATCAGCGGTGTAAATTGATGGTTTTTACAACACATGGATCTGTACCTCTCTGATTATCTGTTTGAATTTTCTCAAGCAGAGAAACTTATTCAAAACTTAACCCAGTACTAATCTGCTATTCAAATAAAAAAATTCAGTGGAAAATTGATTCTGAATATTATATTAAACATGTACCCTCTGTTAATGGGTCTTGGAAAAATGGTTTTGCAGCATATTCACTGTTAGGAGTCTGTTCTGATGAGTACGAAACTTCTTGGACTAAAACTCTTGGCCCTGGTGGTGGTTCTACTCTAAGATTAGATTGATTCCTTGTACCAGGGAGTGCGGGCTGTGTGGCATTAGTGACATTATGACGGTATTTGCAACAAGCCCAATTGCAATTTTTTCCACAGCTGTCTTAACGCTTTACACCCATTAGTAATGGGTGTAAAGCGTTAAGACAGCTGTGGAAAAAATTAATGGGTGTAAAGCGTTAAGACAGCTGTGGAAAAAATTGCAATTGGGCTTGTTGCAAATACCGATTTGCAACAAGCCCAATTGCAATTTTTTCCACAGCTGTTTTAACACCCATTAATGGGTGTAAAGCGTTAAGACAGCTGTGGAAAAAATTGCAATTTTTTCCACAGCTGTCTTAACGCTTTACACCCATTAGTAATGGGTGTAAAGCGTTAAGACAGCTGTGGAAAAAATTGCAATTGGGCTTGTTGCAAATACCGTCATAATTGTATGCATAACATTTGCGCTGAACCTGTTGGGCTGGCTGCTGACGAGAACCAAGGTTTGTGGAAAGGGAAGACTGCATGTAAATCATCCACAATTCTGCATCAACCGAGGCCCAGGACAGTGAGGTATTGTAAGATTTTTTGAGTCGAAATTGAATGTCATAATCTAACCAATTACCTCTCAATTTTTCAGCCCAGCATACCAAACCCGAGTTAAATTATACATGCAAGAGTTATAAATGCATCTTTGCATATGACTGCACAAAATAACCAGATTTATCAACATGAGATAAACCTCATTATCAGGTACAAGCTGCACCGTCGTCACATTCTCTTAATTTTTGTTTTGATGCAGATGTGACGTCATCGATCAACGTTATATGAAACCCTCTGACAAAAATAATAAATACTGTGATTTAACCTTATGATAAAAAAAAGAAATCAATGCATTAATAATCATTATAACTCCAGAATGCTTTTCTATATGATTTTTTATTTTTTCTATTTCTTTTTAAGAGTTGAAATCGTTCTTGAATTTTGCTTTTTATGAATTAAAAAATTTGGACGGAAAACGCGCATTGATGAAGTTTTCCGTCCAAATTTTTTCTTTGGTACATCGATTAAAGAAAAAAAAAATTACATTCATTTCTTATCATTTAATTATCATTTAATTATGATTTTAAATCAATAAAATGAAAGTTTCTTGCACTTTTCCTTACATTTACGCATCAAAAACAGTGCGCACGAATACATCACCATAACGTTAACGTTGCTGAAAATTCAAAATGGCTCTAGGCCTAACCATCTAACGAAAAAACTTTCTCAAATATTGTCGTGTGATTACCAACATTCTCTGAAAATTTACAGTTCTTTAACGCAAAATCTTACCTGTTGTGTTATCCCTCTGGGTATATTTTTCCGGTAAGTTATCTTAGTTCGTAAATACAAAGGGATATAATATAAAGGCAAATATCCTATAACAGTTCTCGGTCACAGAAAGTTTGGATTTCATTTGCGTATCTTTCCATCTGAATTTCAAACCGAATATATGAATAAGTATCACAACCTGTCAATGCTGTAAAACCTGAAAGAATCTGCTGCCGACTGTTCAAGATTAAAAGAATCCCGTCCTCATTCATGCAGTGTCGTTTTTCTCGATCATTCGTTTCCCACGATTTATATATATTACGGTTTTCCCAGCTTTGGTAGCATAATAAAACATTTTTTCAGAGTTCTGTTATTTCATACCAGATATCTCAAAGTCAAACATTTAAGAAAAATATGCGGATTAAACGATTTCCCCCCTTCTTTCCTATAACTGTATTGTCGTCATGCAGACGATTTCATTTGTTTAGCAAAGGGGGATAATTCAAATTGAAACGAAAATAATTTAATTTTAGTTGTAACACGTCATTTGATTGGTTAAACGGTTTTATCCATTTTGTATAACATAACTTGCCTACGTCACAATGAGTTACGTCAAAAACGTATTACTCCGCTTAACGTTAATTTTAAAATAACGCTCAATTTTAAGCCTTTTTCCGGAGGAAATATTGTCTTATTGTCTACCCTGAAATTAAATTATAAGGAATAAAGCTTATTTCAACTTATGTTATCCGATATAACAAAACTTGGGGCAGTTTACGCTTTCTTATAAACCGCTTCGCGGTTTATAAAGCGTAAACTGCCCCAAGTTATGTTATATCGGATAACATAAGTTGAAATAAGCTTCATTCCTTAAGTAAAAAAATAAGTCAGGAACGTAACGGACAGGTTC